GAGGGAAGAGAGGAGGAGGGAGGCGGGGAAGGAAGGAGTTGCGACCCCAGTGCTCCGTTCAGAACGAGAACGCAACGCAGGAGGGTCGGGGAAAAGAGATACCAAGGGCAAGAACTCGAGACATCACAGGAGGCAGGTGGGTGAGGAGGCGGGCTCCTCGCCGCGCACGAGGAGGCTTACCCGTGGGCCCGCTTCGGGGCCTTTGCCTCGTGGGCGACCCTGGCCACAAGGGGAGCTGGCCCTACATCTGGCGGACTCTGACAACCCTGAGCCCAAAAATGTTGTCATCCCTTGGGGGCGCATTCTTTTTTGCTTCCGCCGCCTTCCCCGTCGGCCTTCCGCTGGCTTCCTCCGGCGGAGGCAGCCTCGTTTTATTTCCACACACACAAGCCACTGCCCCCTCTCGTCCACAGCTGTGGAGGCCTGGCGTTGGGCTAGTAGCACTGCCGACCGAGGCCTACACACGAACGCAAGACATTGGCGCAGTCGAACTTCCTCGATCGGAGGCCTCGAATGCACAGGGCGGGACCGACCCCCAGGCCTTCCGCCGGCCTTCCGCCGCCTTCCGCCGAGGCCGAGGCGGGGGATGAGATCTTCGGGCATCCTCGTCGGTGCGCGGAGGTCTCCCAGCTGATCGGGGCGCGCTTTCCAGCGGCTGCGCCTCGTCGGGAGAGCGTTGCGGGGGGGGCCCGGACCGTCCCGCACCGCCGCGCTGGAGGCCCGACTCATGGCCCGAAAGATACCGAAGGGCGAGGAGGGAGCCTGTGCGAGCAGCGCGCCCAGGCATCCTCCGAGACGACGACGACGACGACGACGACGACGACGACGACGACGACGACGACGACGACGACGACGACGACGATGTTCTTTGGACGTTGCTCAGGTCGTTACCCCGAGCCGCGCCGCGCGCTCGCGCACGAGGTCGCGCGCGCCACTCGCGTGACGGTCAACCTCTGCACCGCCAGGTGTGCGGACGCCCCTGGGCGTGCCCCCGCACAGAGGCGAGAGACCACCGAAGCCACTCCCAGCGCCCTCTCATCCCTCTCCCTCGTTGTCCTCCTCCCTGCTCCTCCTCCTCCTCCTCCTCCTCCTCCTCCTCCTCCTCCTCCTCCTCCTCCTCCTCCTGCCGCCAGCGCCCTCGGCGCTCGGTGCGGGCCGTCCCGCCTCGCAGGCCCGCCCTGTGCCCGTGCCGCTCCGCAGCCCAGGCCCGACCTCCTTGCCGAAGTCCCTCTTCTCCAGCTCACCGTCCTGCTCCGCCGCCGCCAGCCTCCCCAGGGGGCTCGCCATCACCACGGCGGCCCTGGCGAGGTCTGCACGACGATGTCGCTCCTCTCGTCGCCCCCGTCCGCTGCCTGCTTGACCCTATTCCTGACCAGGGGCAGCGGCCACAAGACGTCTCCTGCAACCCTTGGATCATCAGCAGCGTCCCCGTCTGCTGCCGCGCCTCGTCGATGCTGCCCTGCACCTCGTCGCTGTCCTCCTCGTCCTCGTCGCCGCTGCCGAAGTAGAACTCCACCAGCGCCACCTCCAGCTCCAGGTCGGATTCGCGCAGGCCTGCAGCAGCCTCGCCCGCGTCCCGCTCGAAGTCCTGCACTTGGAGGGCCGCCTCCACGACCCTCCTGGCCTTGGCCAGGCAGATGCCCTCTGCCAGGGCCGCCTCGTCGTCCCTGAGCTGCTCCGCCTGGGCTCTCTTGGCCTCCTGCGTCTTCTACCTCCTCGTCTTCGGCAGCGCGGGCCTCGGGGCCTCCTCTGCCGCCTGCAGCCCCGCTGTCCCGCGCGCCGCCGCCGCAGCTTCTCGCCGCCCCAGCCAGCCGCGCCAGCACCGCTGCACCGCTCCTGCCGCGGCTGCTCGTGCAGCGTCCGCCCGCCGCACCGCCTCGGCCGAGGCCCAAGCCTCCGCCGATCGTGCCGCGAGCTCCTGCGCCGCCTCCCAGCGAGCCGCGCGTGTTCCTTTGCCCTCCCTGAGCTTCCACTCGCCGCCGTCCTGGAAGCTCTCGCGCTCCTGGTCGACGGCGTGCGCGCCCTGCTCCGGCTGCTCCTTCGCCTGGGGCTCGGCCGCCGCGCTGCCTTCCTTCCCGTGTGCCGCGGCTGCCCGCCCTGCGCTGCCCTTTCCACCCCCTCCCGGCTCCGCGCCAGCAGCCCCGTGCTGCGCTGCCCCCGCGGGGCCCCGCGCGCCCGGGAGAGGGGCCGAGGGGCCGAGGGGCCGAGGCCTCTGCGCGGGCAGGCCGGCCGCCGCGGCCCATGCCCTCCCGCCGGGGCTGCCCTGCGCCCCGTGGCAGGCGAAGCGGCTCCTGGCCCTGCGGGGCCCCAGTCGCGCCGTGCAGGGGCTCCCCGGAGGGGGCGCCCTCTCGAGAGCCGCCGCGACGGCGGCCACCCACGGGTGCAGCACCACGCCGAGGACTGCCGGCGGCGCCCACACGGCAGCACCGCAGCCGCACCAGCCGCCCCCGCCGGGGAGGCCCGCCGCCGTCGCCATGCCGCCGCCCCTCACGACGAGCACCGGCAGCAGCCCGACATCGCGCCCCGCCGTTGGCGCTGGTCCCAGCGCGAGCAGCCCAAGCAGGGCCCTCGAACTAGAAGTTGAGCCAAAATGGCTACGGACGACGACGACGACGACGACGACGACGACGACGACGACGACGACGACGACGACGACGACTCGACGACGACGACGACGACGACGGCGACGGCGACGGCGACGGCGACGGCGACGGCGACGGCGACGGCGACGACGACGACGACGACGACCCTCGCCTGTGCAGGGGGTTCGTGGTTCGGGATCAAGAGAGGGTCTGGGCACAGCGTTCGGGTCGATCGAGTCGCTTCAGGTGGTGCCCGCGAGGCCCGAGTGCGGGCCCGGCTGATCGTGGCGTCAATTCCACGGCCGACTGGTCAAGTCAGTGTTCGGGCGGCTCCGGTGGCACTCGAGCAATTTCCCGGAGCTCAGCGCTGGCCTGACCGTTCTTCGGTTCCCGGCGTGGGCCCCTTTTCTGCCCTGCCACTGCCATGCTGCTAGGAGCTTTCGCTGGGCGCGTCGCGCTGCTGGTTCTGGCCCACCTGCTGTGGTGCTCCCTGGGCCGCAGGAAGGGGGTCGTCCGTTTCCCGTCCCCTGGGCCCTGGGCCCCACGAGCATCAAGGGACGACTCGGGGTGAAGGGAAGAGGAGGGGGAGACGAGAGGAGGGGAGGAGAGGGGAGGAGAGAGGAGGGGAGACGAGACGAGAGGAGGGGAGGAGAGGGGAGACGAGAGGAGGGGAGGAGAGGGGAGAAGAGCAGTCGATAGCCGCGAAGGGAGGTTGAGGTCAGGGAGCATGCAGGACGGGGCTGCACGAGGGGAGGCGAGAGGGACGGAGAGGCGACGGGACACGGTGGAGTCGCCCGCCACCCCCTTCCATCCAGTGCTTCGCTCCCCATTCCTTGTTCCCCCTCGTCTTCTTCAGCCTCCCCCCCCCATTCCTCCCCTGTCTACAATTCCAACAATGAGTCCGTCGCGACCCCAGTCAGGGGGAAGCCTATTGCAAGGGCGCATCGCTGGGCGCCTCGCTTGGCATTGCTTGGCGTTGCTTGGCATTGGCTTGGCATTGCTTGGCATTGCTTGGCATTGCTTGGCGTTGCTTGGCATTGCTCGGCTTGCTTGGCATTGTTTGGCGTTGCTTGGCGTTGCTTCAGGCAAACCTAATTGGGGAATAAACCCGAGGAGCTCGGAGAACCCGGGGAACCCATGGAATCCGAGGAGCCCGAGGAACCCGAGGAACCTGGGAAACCCACGGAACCCGGGGAACCGGAGGAACCTCCGGGAAACGGGCAACGTAACATTAAGTCGGGCCTGTCCCCCTACGGGGTGATTTTCGACGAAAAATACAAAAAAATACCCTATAAATAATCAAAACATGGTCAAAAAATAGTCTGGGGATTATTTTTTTAGTATCTTTTGACCTTTTTGGGGCATTTTGGAGGTATTTTCATTTTTCGTTGAAAATCCCCCTGTAGGGGGACACGCCCGACAAAAACGTAACAATAGGAGGCACCGGGGCGGGGAACCCGAGGAACCCGAGGAACTTCTAAGCAACGGACAACGTAACATTTGGAGGAACCAACCTTTGACCAAGTAAGAACCCCTTAGGCAAGCTTCATTGGGGAAATAGGAGGCACTGGGGGCGGGGAACCCGAGGAACTTGGAGAACCCGGGAACCTCCAGGAAACAGGCAACGTAACAATAGGAGGCATCGAGGGCGAGGAACCCGAGGAGCTTGGGGAACCTCCGAGGAACGGGCAAAGTAATCCCTCGAGGCACCAACCTTTCACCACGTAAGAACCCTCAGGCAAGGCTAATTGAGACATCTGAATGCTACTCTCCTCTCCTCCCTGACTCCGTTCGGAAGATATTCGACCCACTCGGCATATTCCCATGAACACACAGGATCTCAAACGTTGTTTTTCCTTCATGTCGCTTTTTGCAATCCGACTTTTTCCGGTGCTTCAAGATGGTGTTCCCATTGCAGCGTGGCCTCATTTTCGAGTCGGCGCTTTGCCCCCGTCGTTCAGAATGGCGCTCTCGCCCCAGCTCGGACCACTTGCCTGAATCGGAGTCTTCCTTCATCGTCGTCGCCCCCCCCCATTCCCCCTCCTCCGCCGCCCCCTGATCCTCCCGCTCCTCCCGCTCCTTCCACTCCAGGTTCTGCTGCTGCTGTTCGTCCTCGTACCTTTCCTCCCGCTTATCCTCCTGCTCACCCGCCACCTCCCCCTCCTCCTGCACACGCAGCTCGCCTCTTCGATTGCGCACAGCACGAGGTGGTCTTCTCTTTTGGAGTTGCGGGCCGGCTATGACGCGCGTGTGCGGATAGAGAAAAAACAGAGCAATGGGAAGGGATGGGAGGAAGGGGCAGGATGTCAGATGAGGCGCGAGTGCACCTAGCTTGCCCATCCCGCCTCTCCCCTCCCCCGCCCCCCCCTCCCTCCCCCCCTCCCCTCCCCCCCCCCGCTCCCCCCCTTGGCCGGCCAGGCCCCGATGACCGTGGGCCTGCAGCAGCCCTCCAACAAGAGGATCAGCCGCGAGTTCCGGCACACGGGCGCGACGGGCCCAGGCGGGTACATCAGGCACCCTCCCGCCGCGAGATCGGGAGCGGAAAAGAGGGGGGTGATGACTAGGGGGGGGGCGGATTTCATGGCGCGGGCCATGATTTTTCCCCAGATTTCATGGCGCCTCTTCTTATTCTACTACGTCCCAGGCCCCCCCGCTGGGCCGCGCACATGCCGCCGCTCATGATTTGCACCCCCCCCCTCTTGGACACCCCCCTCTTGGCCGCTCCCGACGAGAGAGAGAGCGAGAGAGAGAGAGGCGAGCCATCCGGTCGCCCCGTGCGCTGGCTGCGGGCCTCGCGGGCGCCTCGTGAGCGCTTCGGGCGTGGACGGGCCGCTCCGTGTGTTTCGGTCGGCGGGCTGCCCGTTGCAGGAGCAGGTGGTCACGGGCAGCATCGGTGAGCGGCGGGTGTCCTCCTGGGAGCCACGCGCAGGGATGTTCAATGACCATGCTGGGCGTCCTTGATTCGTTCGCTACCAGGATGACGTTCGCCTGCCCGTATCGATTCAATAGTTCCCTTTTGTCCAGTTGTCTCCATCGCATGTGGAATCCTTGCCTCGGCCCCTACACTCATGAGATGTGGGATGTGGGTAGCTAGCTCTCAACTAGGACATGGTCGATTGGTCATGTCTTGTTGACACCTCTGGTTGCAACGCTGTTCGCCGCTGAATGGGAACGTCAATATGCAATTGTACATGTAGTTTGGATCAGTATTCGATGGACCATGTCGGACTTGGCTGTTGTTGTGCGGACGCTTCTGTGAGTTACCGTCTAGATATCAGCGGAGGTGTCGACTTGGCTTTCGTTTGGAATGTTCTGCATGCTAGACTGGCCATTGCAAGACTGTATCTCATTCAAGTGTTATCCTGGCCCTTTCACGTGTCGTACCCAGACCTCGCTCTGTCTTCGCAGTGCTATATCTCCCACTTGGCATGCCCCTGTATTGAAAGTCGGTAGGTTCTTCTATCTCTCCCTCCATCTGCTCATACAAATATATCATGTTATAAATCGCCCTCTCTATCTATATATGCATGTACATACTCATCCGTGCCACCCTCCCTGTTGTTGTTTTCAGTGTTGCCTATCCACACCTTCTCCCTCATCGTGCGTTTGCCTGTATGCGAGATTGCCGATTCAGCTCGTATCAGTATTGTCTCAAACGTCGTATGCGCTTTTTTGGGGTAGTGTCGTCTGGAAGGTATTTTTTGCTCTACGACGCCGTCTGCTTTACTGTTGTTCTCTGTGAGCCAGGGGGAGGGTGTCACATGCGCAGATGGGGACGGGGTAGATGGAGGCAGCCAGCAGCTCCTCCAGGGGTGGCAGTCACAGAGTGCTGAGGAAGTTTGAGGAGGCGGGGGAGGAGGAGTATGAGGCGGAGGAGGAGGAGGAGGAGGAGGAGGAGGAGGAGAGGATCATGCGCACCGAATGTCTGGGAAGTCGAGCATCGCATACTTCGGGCAAGGCGAATACAATGCCAACACAGGACGCGGCAGTAATGACAGCGGTGAGGAAAGCACCGCGGGCTACCTCTGGGCATGGATCCGGCTTCTGGCGGAGTTGGCAGCGGCCGGGTGAGGGTGGCTACAGTCGACCCGCAGAGTAAGGGTGGGCATCCCTCCCGAGGGTACCCTTGCATCCCTGCCTCCCGGGTCCATCCTTGGCCAGTTTCGTGGGCCGCGCCCCGCTCGAAACGCTTCGAAATGGGCGTCCAATGGCCTGGCGTCCTTATCGCGCATCCTTACTGTGCGGGTTGACTGTGTTGTGGGAGACGATTTGCTCACCATCCGGCGACTTCCCGGAGCTTGGCGCCCGACCTCTCTGCCCTGCGCTTTCTTTGGCCACGCGAGCACGCACCAGAGCCTTGCGCTCGGCCCTGCGACGCTGGCCGCGCAAGGGCACTGCTGATACCTGGGAGCTGCTTTCAGGGGGCCACATGCGAACCCTACCCCCACCCCCCACGATTTCTCAGGGGGAGGGTGGGGTTCACTTCGTTCGGGAGCTCCCGAGCGAGGTGAACCCCACCCTCCCCCTCAGAAATCGTGGGGGGTAGGGGTAGGGTTCGCATGTGGCCCCCTAGCTTTTACTCGGTTTCGGTCCCTGCAGGCAGTCGGCGGGGGGGACCCCCACTGAAGTTCGAGGTGCAAGCCCGTTCTTCAGGGTCAGATCCTTCACTTCACTTTACCTGATCGCCCAGTTCAATGTCAAGTTTTGCAGCTCTTCTGGTCCCGATGAGTGGATACCTGACATGATCATCGACGGGAATTCCAGAGGCATCGCCGATTTTTGCCGACTAGCCGGCCCTGTGTCTTGAGTTGGCATGTCTTCACGATGCCGATTCTGAGGCTGTAGGGGGGGGAAGGCAAGCAGCTGCTCCTTGATTTTCAGTCGTGTGCGATTTTCTACCGCTTTGCTCCGTCCCTGCGAAGCCTCAGTCTTCAGCAACTGCTCGGTATGTGTTTCTGTTGCGGACCTCTCGTCAGCAGTGATGCACGCAGTTGCGTGCTGCTGTGGTCGCCTCCCTCTTGAGCCGAGGAAGCGCAAACGCGGCTTGAGGCTCTTGGCTTGGCGACGTGCCCCGCTTCTGTACAGAATTGGCGCGACCCGTCACCTGATCAGGCGTCATTGGCCTCGTGCGTTCGCTGCATACTTTTCCCGATCCGTGAATTGGCGTCCGCGCGTCAGCGCCAGATCCGCGGATCCGTACAGTCGGCATTGATAGTGAGGATGATCGACTTCTCAAGGGCACCCTTGCACCCTTGTCCCTTCGGTCATCTTCGACCGATCCTCAACCACTGTCGATGGCCAGCCCCGCTCGAGAAGCTTCGGCGTGCTCCTCCTCCTCCTCCTCCTCCCCTTCCCTTCTCCTTCCTCCCTCCTCCCTCCTCTTCCTCCTCCTCCGCCTCCTCCTCTTCCTCCTCCGCCTCTTCCTCCGCCTCTTCCTCCTCCTCCGCCTCCTCCTCCCCCTCCTCCTCCTCCGCCTCCTCCTCTTCCTCCTCGTCCTCCTCCTCTTCCTCCTCCTCCGCCGCCTCCTCTTCCTCCTCCATGGCCCGCGCACCCTTGTCGCGCATCCTCACCATCACTTCTGACTGCACTCCGTGCTGGCGCGTGTCCGCTTCGGGGCTTCCGGCCAGACGTCGGCACCCCCATCGGCCCCAGAACGCTCCGGCGGCCATCGTGCCGCGCACTCCGCGCCCATTGCTCGGCCACGCGCAAAGGGGGGGTAAGGGGGGGAGTGGGGGAAGGCGTCTGAGAAGCACCTCTGCTTCTAAGGACTAAGGAGCCTTCCCCCCTTCCCCCTTACCCCCCCCTGTGCGCGCCGCCAAGCCGCCGGGCGTCCCCAAGCGGATTCCAGGTCGACGTTTCGCACCTCCTGAGTTGCGCAGAGCTGGAACTCTCGTAAGCCTGCCTCCTCCTCCTCCTCCTCCTCCTCCTCCTCCTCCTCCTCCTCCTCCTCCTCCTCCTCCCTCCAGCGCGTCCCTGGAGGGCTGAGGCCCGCTGGCCCGCAGGCCCTCCAGGGTGGCGGCGCTCGCGGCGGGGGCATCCCTTGACTTTGGCAGCCCACCTGGCAGCCCCGAGGGGCATGCCTTTGCTTTGGCAGCCCTATTGGCAGTCCCTCCTCCCTCCCTCCTTCCCTCCCTCCTCCCTCCCTCCCTCCCTCCCTCCCTCCCTCCTCCAATTGGCAGTCCTCCTCCTCCTCCTCCACCTCCTCCTCCCTCCTCCCTCACTCTCTCCCTCCCTCCTTCCTCCTCCTCGTCCCCCTCCACCTACTCCTCTCCCGCGGGAGCGGGCGGAGCAGGCGGCCTGTTCATTGTGATCGCCCTCCGTCCCGAAGGTGCGCCCGCCCCGCCGGGCGCGCCTGCGCGCTGCCTCGCGAGCGAGGGGGGGTGGCGAAGCGTCCTGGCGTGCCTAGTTATAGGCCCACCAAACAATGTTCTAAGAACCTCTTGTGGTTTATACGTAACGTTCTTAGAACCTGCCTGGCCGAGACTGTCTTGTTCCCCACATGTTTCGTGGGGTTCTGGTTTTCTTCCCTCCCGCGTCCCACCCGCGAAGCTCACTCACCCCCCTTGCGGGCTCGCAAAGCGTGGCAGGCGTGGCGTTTTCTCGATACCATAAGGGGGTGCGCACGGGGTGGTCCCTGAGCACGGCCGCTATCCGTGACAGCCGTCCAGGGCACAGCAGGCGTGGCGTTTTCTCGACACCTCAGGGGGTGCGCACGGGGTGGTCCCTGAGCGCGGCCGCTATCCGTGACAGTCGTCCAGGGCACAGCAGGTGTGGCGTTTTCTCGACACCACAGGGGTGCGCACGGGGTGGTCCCTGTATCCGTGACGGTCGTCCTTGCCCTAGCAGTGCCGTGCCGTGCACTGCCGTGCACTCCCGTGCACTGCCGTGCCGTGCCGTTGCACTGCCGTACCTTGCACAACGGGAGACCACAAGCATTCCGCAATTTGGTCGGCGTAGCGGGTCGTCAGTTTGGAATCCATTGTACGTGGAAAACCATCAAACCAGAAACAACTACTGAATTAAAACTGTCTCTGCGAAGGTTCCAACAAAAACAAAGGACTCCGACGGAAAGACCCCGCATGAGCATCTGTTTGGCTTGCCCTTAACCCTTCCCTCCTCGCCCTGGCGGACACCCTCCTCTCGCCCTCTGCTCTGCCCTCTCCTCCTCCTCCTCCTCCTCCTCCTCCTCCTCCTCCTCCTCCTCCTCCTCCTCCTATTTCTCTTCCTCCTCCTCCTCCTCCTCCTCCTTGTACTCCTCCTCCTCCTCCTCCTCCTCCTCCTCCTCCTCCTCCTCCTACTCCTACTCCTACTCCTACTCCTACTCCTACTCCTACTCCTACTCCTCCTTTTCCACCTCCTCCTCATCATCACCCTCTCCCTGCCCGTTCCCCGTCCTCATCCTTCCCCTGTATCTTCTCCATGTGCTCCCCCACTTCCCCCTGGTCGGGGCAAGCAAATCGATTTTCCTCGGCGCCGTCGCCGCCTCGGCCAGCGCGCGCGCGTTCGCCGACGGCTGGTTAAGCCTTTAGGACAGCACCGCGGGCCAGGCCTCTGGGACAACCCCGCGGGCCGCTGGGGCGCGGGGGCAGGCCGTCGGGACAACCCCGCGGGCCAGACCGTTGGGACAACCCCGCGGGCCTCTAACTGCGCGCCGCGGCGCTCAGGCGGGAGGCAGCACGAAGCCAAGCTCCGCGGCGAGCTGCTCGGCCTCATCCCCGGAGGTCTTCGCTTTCTCGTCGAAGTTCCAGAGCGCCTTCCGCAGGGGCGCCGGCGGCCCGCGCTCCAGCATGTCTCGTGGGGGCGACCGCAGAATCAGCATGTTCCGCATCCGCGTGGCGCGGAAGAACATGACGCAGAAGTGCAGCCACCGCTGCTCGGGTGACATGCCCGCGCGGTCAGCGTCCTCATCCCTGGCGCAGTCAATGGCGACGCCGTTGCGCAGCGTCTGGCCCTGCGACAGCGTGGAGGTCAGGTAGGACGCGTGCGCCAGGGTGAACCCCGAGCGGCGCACGACGTGCGTCCCCGAGTTCTGCCACGTGAACTCCTGCTCGCTGGGCCTGAACATCAGCAAGCTCCTCGCCCGCACCTCGGCTTCGCCGCCGTCGTCAGCGCCTTCCGCCCTGCAGCAGCAGTTCGGCGACCTCATTGTAGATCGGGGACTCCTGAAGCCCTCGACCTGCAGCCAGATTCCCTGCGGTAGGTAGCGGAGGCGAAAGAGCTGGCCCGGCGCGCACTCCTCAGACTCCCGCTCGTCGTCTGGGTCAAACTCGAAGGACACGATAGTGGCTCGTTGCTCTTGCACGAGCCCCAACTTCTTCAGCTCTTGCTGAAGGCTCCCGCCTGAGATTTCCTTGCAATTCACTCACAAACGAGGCTCCCACCAGAGATTTCCTCCAAATTCGAGCCTCAGGAGCCCAAAACTGATGACAGTTACAGGGTTGAGGATGGCCTGGTCGCATTACCAACGTGAAGTGCGGGGCCTATAGGGTGGGGGCTCCCGCCGGAGACTTCCTCACAATTCACTCACAAAAGAAGCTGCCGCCTGATACTTCTTACATATTGAGGCTTCAGGAGCCCAGAAGTGACGACCGTTAATGGGTTGAGGATGACCCGCTCGGATTGCCAACGTGAAGTGCGGGACCCATAGGGAGGGGGCTCCCGCTTGAAATTTCCGCACAATTCATTCACAAACAAGGCTGCCGCCCGATACTTTTTACATATTCAAGCTTCAGGAGCCCAAAATTGACGACTGCTACAGGATGGGGATGACCAGCTCGGATTACCAACGTGAAGTGCGGGACCCATAGGGAGGGGGCTCCCGCCTGAGATTTCTTCACAATTCACTCACAGACGAAAGTCCCGCTTGATACTTCCTCCATATTCAGACTTCAGGAGCGCAGAAGTGACGACAGTTACAGGGTTAAGGATGGCCCGTTCGGAGTACCAACATAAAGTGCGGGACATATAAGAAGGGGTTTCCGCTTGAGACTTCTTCACGACTCGCTCACAGACGAAATTCCCGCTAGATCTTTCCTCCTAGCTAGGGAATGAGTGATGACGACGGGATGAGTGAGTGAGTGTTGATGACGGTGAGTGAGTAGGTGATGATGGTGCGGGTGATAATGAGTGAGTGCGTTAGTGAGTGGGAGCGTGATCGAGTGATGATGTTCGTGCTCATGATTGTGGGTGTGAGTGTGTGAGTGAATGAGTGTGGGTGTGAGTGAGTGTATGTGTGATGACGAGGAAGTAGGTGAGTGAGGCGGAGAGGGGGAGTGACTGTGTGAGTGTGAGTGTGTGAGAGTGTATGATGATGATGATGATGAGGAGGAGGAGGAAAAGAGGGGGCAGGAGAGATCCTGCGCGGGGGGGGGGGGGAGAAAACAAGAGAACCACTTCTGATGTGGGGAAATACACGCATTTCACTGTAGTCGGCCATGTTTAGGATCCCCCCGGCCGACGACCCCCACGCCGGCTCAATTGTGTTTACTTTTGTTTTGAAGCCCTCGCATGGGTTGCTATCATTGTTTGTTGTGTTTCTGGTTAACGGTTTCTCTTTCCTTGGGAATTCCATGCCGACGAACCCCACGCCGACCAAGTTGCGACATGTTTATTTTCTTGGTTCCCCATACGGATGTTGTCCATGTTGTTAAAGCCTCTGCTGGCGAGCTTGGTGGACGTTGTGGAGAGGAGGGGAAGCGAATGAGGTGAGTGAAGCACTGACCGTAAATCTTGTGTTTTTGAATGGGAGCCTCTGTAATTGTTTGCGCCGTTGTCGAAAATCACGCCTGGCCTCCCACGGGGATTGGCGTGGGAATTGTTATGAATGTGTTTAGGTTTCAGGTTTGGTGGCTCGTTCGCACAAGACTTGCCCCGACGTGTTGCGCACGGTTTTCTACACTAGGGGTTCTGCATTCACAC